ACTTTTTGTCTGGCGAGCATCAATTGCTCCAGCCAGGGTCAACTTTTTTGATAAGCTAGACTTCAGTTTCTCTGTAAGTAGTGGATCTGGAGTAGGTTTGATAATTACTTGGACTTTAGCTAGCTGTTCTCTTAACAGTAGCAGCATTTTCCCATGCAAGGCATCTGTGTTGGTATTGATTTCATCCATAACTGCTGTATGCTTCAGTAGCTGCATTGCCAGCTTGTCCAGTAATGAACCTTTTCCTTTATTCTTGTAGAAGTTCTGTGCAAAATGACTGTTAATAATATCTTCTAGATCTTGACAATGAAGCAAGGGCTCAGTTACAAATCCATTTGATATGGAGTCTTTAAAGTTGGCATGCACAAGATGTTCTTCTGCAGTTACCTCTTGCCATTTTCTAAAAACTTCAGTTATCTTCTTTTTTGACTTCTGCAAGTTGGCAATTTCTTTCAGAATCTTGTTTTTTTCTTCCAGCAGTTTTTCTGGACTAGAGATCAACTGCAACTCTAACAACCTCCATTCATCATCTTCTTCTGCATTCAAGGTTTGAAGAGTAAAAGCAGTTGTAGCCAAATAATCATTTCTGGCTCTAACTTGGGTAGCTCTGTGTTCAGTTTTCTTTAATATCCCAACAATACATTTTTTGAATGTTGGTGAAAATGACTTACAGGCTTCACTTTGTAGGATAATTGAGAATTGTTCTTTAATCTTCTCAACATCAGATAACTCTACTGGCAGAACACAAAGAAAATTGTCATTATCTTGCTGAAGCACAGCAAGAAATTTGTCACAAGGAATGTTCTCCATTTTCACTGTATATTTGTGCTGAATCTTGTAATACTCTATACTCTCTGTGTTCCTAGATCTATCTATCACTGTATTTTCTAACTGTCTAGTTTAGTGGTTCACTAACAGAAATATTCACTTGTCTGCTACGCTAAACTATATAGTATATACACAGGCTATGCTGCACTATACAGAGGTTGATGACGTCACAAAGTGAAGGGAAAGTATATATATCTATCTATCCATATATATATATAATTATACAGAAGATAATCACTTATTTATAAAAAAGTTATTGTGCTCGGCACATGTAATAATATCAACAAATAAGTATGATGTGAATTTTTTTCTATGGAATACTTTTGATATACAGATTATACAGATAGAAGTATCAACTAATGATTTTTATTACTACTATTTGATAGTAAAAATAGAAATATCAACAAAAAATTATCACTAAAATATATGTTGTTGTTTTAATGAATACTATTTAATAGTAAAAAAACCTGTAAAAACCTGTGAATAAGTAATTAATGATAATGGTTAGGTTTTATTAATTTATATTTAAAGTTTAAACTACATCTAAACACTATCAAGTCTAAAGTTACTTAATTAACAATTATTATTAACAATCATTTTATAGTTTTTTATTATTTAAAAAAAAATAAAATGGTACGAGGCATAGTTAATAATTTCAAATGTTCATATTTTTTCTCCTTTCTCCATCTGCATGTCCGCAGTTTCTCTTTTTATTGCCTCCCTTTGCCCGTCCATTAATGGCGCTGTTTTTGAAAGAATGTTTACGAGTCGCCGTCTTTGCGTCATTATATGACAGTGCATAATCACCCTTTCATTGCATAGATCTTTCCCTCTCCGTTTTTGTTTTATTTTGCTTATTTGTAATTTCAGACTCAGCGCTGAACATTCTACTTGCATATGCTAGGTCACCACTCCTAGCACTTCAAGTTAGTTATTATATGCAGCAAGGGAGCAATAGCTTCCCTGCTATGAACCGCACATTTTTACTTTCTTGTACAAGGAGGGTTGTTATTCAATGAAGGGTAATCAAGTGACCCGCTCAGAGGTAATTTTGTTGTAGAGTCCCAACATAATTGTAAATTTGTATTTCTTTATAAAAAGCTGTTTTTTTGGTATGCAACAATTTTCATTTAATCCCGCCGGGATATCTTCATTGAAAGATACTTTGAAAATCTACAAAGGCAAAAAAAATCCGCAAAATCCGCAAGCCCTCGGGTTTGTCATTGAATCCCCTCTTTAAAAAGGAATGTCATTTACTCTCATTGAATCCCTCGGGGGTTTAAATTTCCATTGATTCTAATTTGTCTGAGAGTAAATGATACATTGTTTTTATTTCTAAACCTTAAAAATAAAAAATATTGTGAATCCGCCAAAATACTAATGTCAAATAAACAGCAAATATAGCAAGTCATTATCAAACAATCAGAAAATTAATTAAAATCAGCAAACACTGAACACACACTGCTGAGTGCACTTTGAAACTAATTTTTAAATAATTGAAATTTTAAAAAATCTTTCAGTCTTTGAAAGTGACTTGTCGATATTTTGCCGCAGAAACAATGAAATATTGTTAGAATTTAACCCTTTTCTAGCAGCACCCCGAAGATATCTTCTATATTTTTGATCAGATAAGGATTTAAAGTGTAACCATTGTACACTGAATATATATGTAAGGTCACTTACAATTACAATGACAATCCCTTGAATTACCTTATAAGTAAACTTCAGTCCACAAAAATTATATTTGGATAAAACCAAACTGTAACTTTACCATCCTAAAACAAAACACTTTGTTTAAAAGAAATTATATTTGGATAAAACCAAACTGTATCTTTACCATCCTAAAACAAAACACTTTGTATGAAAGAAATTATATTTGGATAAAACCAAACTGTAACTTTACCATCCTAAAACAAAACACTTTGTATGAAAGATATAATTGAATTGTTATCGACTTATTAATAAATAAATAAACAGTGCATACATGCTCAGACCTTAGTGAGATCTTTTACAATTTTTTAGAAAAGGCTATTAAACGAATCAAACTAATAGAACTAAGAACACAACAATAACAGGGTTAGCAACTTAGAGTTTTACCAAAGCGTAAAAATATGTATGACAAAATTTAAAAAAAGGGGAAAATAACAGATTCGTTTGAAATTGGGTTTGATAGGCTCCTAAAATTTCCTACTGGAGTGAGTAACTTAGGTAAAAATAAAGATAATCTACGTTTACACAATTTTGTACTTATGGGTCGACACTCTAAAGACTTGTTTGTAATCGAATTTTCAAGATTCAGACCATTTTTAAATATCTACGTACAATTTCCGATTTAATGAGTCCATTTTTAAACTTGTAGGTCTAAAAATAACAATTTTAAAGGCTCCTAATGTTTCCAACTTCTCATTCACTTAACGAACTTGAAGTCAACATCAGGAGAGAAATAGCTGCCCTGGGCCCTGCTGTCTCACAAAAGTCTATTTATGATGTTAGATCATGGGCCCCAAAGTGTCTTGCTGCTAAAGGTGGACATTTAGAATAAAATTGTTATTAACGGTAAAATAAACTCTAATAAACTATTGGCCTAATATTCAATACTAAAATGTGCAAACGGAGATATCTTTTACTTTTTACTCGCTCCAGTTGAAAACTTTAGGAGTCTATAAAATTATTATTTTTAGATCTACGATCCTAAAATTGGACTTATCACATCGGAAATTGTACGTAGATTTTAAAAATGTTCTCAATCTTAAAATTTCGATTACAAACAAGTCTGTACTCGGTAGACCCTTTTATAAGATTGAACAAACGGACAGCTGGACACTTTATGAGCCTTTAAAATTGTCATTTTTAGATCAACAAGCCTAAAATTGGGCTCATTGAGTCTGAAATTGTACGTAGATTTTAAAAATGGTCTCAATCCAATTACCAACGAGTCTGTAGACCCTTATTTCCCGTTTTTTTAAAAACACTGTATAATATGTTGTATCGGTTAAAATTGTTATAAATTTTTTTTTTCTGATATGACCGATTCATAACTAATAATAATATTTAAATATAAGATAATACAGAGCTTCTCATGTCATGTTGGATTCTTTAGCGCCAAAAATATGTTCTGAATGCTCGTGTAATAGCCAACAAATTCATTCTACAGTTTAGAGCTAGGCACGATTTGATGTGGGACACCTTGTGATCTGTAATGATATGGGACACCCTGTAATCTGTAATGATATGGGAAACCTTGAAATCTGTAATGATATGGGACACCCTGTAGTCTGTAATGATATGGGACACCATGTAGTCTGTAATGATATGGGACACCCTGTAATCTGTAATGATATGGGACACCCTATAATTTGTAATGATATGGGACACCATGTAATCTGTAATGATATGGGACACCCTTTATTCTGTAATGATATGGGACACCGGCCCTGTAATCTGTATTTATAAGGATATGGGAATGATATAACACGATATAATAAGACTTTTAGTCCACAGACATTTAAAACAATGACAAGCATAAATCATGTGATAAAGTTTACTTAAATTAAACATTTATCTAGTAGTAATAAGCTATACTTTGTCCAAATTATATATATATTATTATTATTATTACTATTGTGTATGATATGGTATGTAATATCAACCTGCATGGCTACCAACATATTGATGTCCTGGGACCATCTCAAACTCTAAACCATCACACCAAGCTTTCCAGGGGTATTATTTCTCCCAAACTAATATTGAAAAATTTAAAGGCATAGCTTACAAATTATAAGATGAAAATAATCTAGAACTTGAACTACGACGTCAGGTTGCAAAGATATTAGAAAATTCAAATGCAATGAAATAACTCATGATAAAGAAGTTAATCGCCTCTATCCCCAACATAATATGAATGGAGTTTAGGAGGTCAGGTATAGAAGTTATTTATTTATTTTCCTTAATGAGATAGGTTTGTTATTTGTGAATATTAGATGTAGGTTACCTTTTTAACATTAGTCAAATAAAGATCTCTGTTTTTATCCACAATCGCTAGTGAATTCTCTCATTGGGTAATCCAGTTTGATCCAGGGCAACCCCTGCAATCTACAGAAAAAAAACGTATACAAAACAGATCCTTTCAAGTGACCCGCCTGTAAATGTATGAAGTGCTCAAGAATCCTCGAATCCTCATTTTAATCAATCTGAAAATAGAATAGAATAGTAAAATAGCATAGAAATAATAAAATAGTAAAAGATTCTCAATCCATGAGCGCATTTCAGACCCAGTTGCCTGGAGTGGGAGTGAGTTCTTCAGAGTTCTTCTGTGAAGGAGTCACCTCGGTGCCGCGCTCCTACTCGTCCACGCTCATATCCGTCCGTGCTTTTCTTTACTGCGCACCGGTATGAGCAGTCTAAAGTTCAAAAGTTTAAGGGATTGTTCCTGACAATTTGGGTGAAGCTTGTCAATCCAAAGTGCTGTACTTTCATAAATGTAGTAAGGATGGTTTAGCCAGCCTCAGATTGGTTTCTTTTTCTCTTCCTTGTAAAGATGGATTATGGCTGATATCAATTAGGTAGCAATGTTTATAATGTTGAATTGTGCGGTTTATCAACTGCTGGAAAACATATTGTAAATAACCGAAATTAACACCTAAAAAATACTATATTTTCCATATAAATGATCGGATCAAGGTTTTAAATCAAAAAATCAAATTTAGAAGTGAATTTATTTTCAAATAAAAATATTCCTACCTTTTGTTTATGGGTAGATGGTCTCCCATCGTTAAATGGTTTCCGTGTACCAGTATCAAATAGATGAACATTCCTTTCATTAGTTTGATCCCTAGATAATTAGTCAAAATAAACCATGCACATATTCAAAGTTAAAGTTTTAATTTAATTTATATTCACAAACCTTTAACTTAAGCTTAGTAACATAAAAACCCCCTTTACAACAAGCAGATAATATTAGATTGCGATTATCACTCTTCCTCTTTAGTTTAAAGTAAATATGGTTAATACTATATATTTTATTAAAAGCAGATAATATTAGATTGCGATTATCACTCTTCCTCTTTAGTTTAAAGTAAATATGGTTAATACTGTTTTATTAAAAGGTTACGACAAAAATATGGTTTTGTTTAAAAAGGAATTAAAAATATGTTTAAAGTTTCACCGAAAAAAAACACAAAAATAATAGTTAGTACAATTATAAAAAGTTAAAACTGTAATGAAACTTAAAAGTCGTATTTTTACAATATTTCCTTTAAGCGTCGCCAGATTTTCTTATTTAACATGTTTTAACTCTGGAGCATGTCATTATCATTTTCAGATATTTGTTGATAAGTAACAATTCTACTGTCTTCAGCTATCTTTATTTATTTATATTTGAAAAATAAACAAAGACTACTTTTATTTTAGTTATGAATGTAAATAAAATAAATATATAATTATTATTATTTACAACTACTTTAAAGGAAAATTAAGAAATTTTGTATATAAAAACATCCGCTGCGTTGCTAACTTTTAACTAAAACTTTGCAGAGCGAGATGTTATTTAACTTAATTGTCCCAAGGGGCAGTGAAGTAAATTAACATCCCTCTGTTGGTAGATTCACCGGTCGGTAAAGTAGCTAAAAAAAGCGATAAAGTTGGAAAAATGCGTTAAGGTTGGTGAAAAGAAAGTAAAGTATGTAAAAAGGCTGTAAAGTAGGTAAAAGGCGGTGAAGTAGGGGAAAAGGTGGTAACGTTGGTGAAAAGCCTTTAAAGTTGTTGAAAAGTTCTTAAATTCGCCTGATGACTAAGACTAACAGCTTGTTTTGTGAAGACATCAGGTCTCATCCCACTTCACTATATAGGGGGAACCATGAATATGTAAGTTTCCCTATATTTAGGTCGTCTTCGATATTCATTGATGAATATATGCATATTGTAGTAATTTTACTCAAAACAACTAACATTTGAAATATAAATTGATGAAGAAAAATAATTTTCTTCTCCCTTTGAAACCTGAAGTTATAGACCTTTGATAATTTAAACTATAATTTTGCTAGATCAAATTGTCAAAGTTTGAAATATCAAAGGTGTAAACGACACTCTACACATCATTTCTCTGTCAATTTAAAAAACGTAAACTTTTTTGAAAATTACTTATTATCGTAAATTTAAAAAAATAACTACGTCTTATTAAAATTCCCAACAAATTGCAGTAGGTCAAAAGAAAAGCAGAAACAAAGAATCCTAGTAATATATAACATATACAACGCAGATACATACGACAATAATTGGAAAATGAATTTTTGAAACAATCTATAATTACCTTAGGAGAAGCTAGTAGTCTTCCCTCATAGCTGTATATATAGGTAGCAGAAGAAAATGCTAACTAGCTTGGATTCTTAGGCTTACACTTCCCTCCTATATGTGTAAAATTTATATCTGTTTTTTGATTGAATAATACATTGATTTACATTTTTATACATATAAATAATTCCACCAACTACCCGGATAGAATCTTAGAGTCTGAAACCTAGTCTTAGACGCCGGGCCGACCTCCTCAGACCCTCTGTTTTTGGAAAAAAATATCAAATTTCA